GGCCGCTATCGAATATTTGGGGAGACAATTGATATCGCTGTTGGGAATTGCTTGGACAGGTTTGCTAGAGTTCTCACTCTGTCTAATGATCCCAGCCCAGGCTACAACATTGAGCAGGTATGTTTGTCAGTAACTAGTAAATGTTGGTCTCCAGAGTGGTTGATATCATGATTCATAACTTTTGAAGTGCAGGATGCAAAATTAAATTAGCATCTCCACTTCAACCTGTTGATATTTATAACTATATTGTAAGTGATACTTTGAAATCTGTAAACCTTTGAATGGATTAACTTATCAGAAAAAGTCATTAAAAAAGGATCAGGGAAACACGTCTCTTTCAATCCGTTGGGATTACCGTACAGTTGTGGTTTGAGTGTTTCTGATGATGTTAACCTGTTCCGACTAACTTCCATCTCTTCTTGCAGCTTGCAAAAAAGGGCTCACAATTTATAGACCTTCCGTATGTTGTAAAAGGAATGGATGTTTCTTTCAGTGGAATATTAAGCTATATTGAAGCCACTGCTGAAGAGAAGCTTAAAGCTAATGAATGCACCCCTGCAGATTTGTGTTACTCCCTACAGGTAATATTTATGATTGAATTGATTAATACATTAATCAATATATTTGTGAGTAGAGAATATGCATCTGGTGCAACAGTTTTCCTATGTCAAACATCGAAAGGCTCATAAAGTTTCTGCATATATCTGTTTCTTGTAGGAAACATTGTTTGCAATGCTCGTGGAGATCACAGAGCGGGCCATGGCACATTGTGACAAGAAGGATGTGTTAATTGTTGGTGGAGTGGGATGCAATGAGCGGTTGCAAGAGATGATGCGAATTATGTGCTCTGAAAGGGGTGGGACATTATATGCAACAGATGACCGTTACTGTATTGACAATGGGGCAATGATTGCTTATACAGGGCTCCTTGCTCATGCTTGTGGCATGTCAACTCCGCTCGAGGAATCAACATTCACCCAGCGGTTCAGAACAGATGAAGTGTTAGCAGTATGGAGACAAGGGGAATCATCTGAGGCAATGGTCACACAATAGAAAGTAGCTAATATGTAACTTATAGTAGGTAAATCTCTTGTTCTTGTTTATTGTAAGTTTGTTTATTTGCTTATTTGAATTCCAATCTACTTATATCCCTGTACTGGGATTGGTGATTCAATTCTAGCATACAAGGTTTTTTGCATTTTTCTTATAGATGATAGCTTACAAGATTGTCTTCTAGAAAATCAAAGCTTGGAAGCATGTAGCTATGATCTTGTAGCATTAAAGTCCATCTTAAGCAATTAGCAAGCCTTCATAAAAATCCTTAGTATGATGCATTCAGCTTCCATACATTTGAATTGATTTTCTATCATCTTAGAGGACTTGCTAACTGTTTAATTTTGCATGGCCATCTTATTTGCGACTACAGTGTTTATCTGATTCTTTCTAGCGTCGTTAACTGAGTGTTTAGCCATTCCTCTATAGAAAGTATCACGTTTGATGGTGAAATGCAAACTACACTCATTGAAAACTTTTCCTCTTCCGATAATATAGTTTCACACATGGATAAGGTTCCATCGAGTCATTTTGGCTTTTAAATTATGGGTATCTTGTTGCATAGTTCAATTTGGAGTAGCTTCTATAATAGAGCTATCCTCCAAATCTAACACATTGCTTCTTTTTGTCATATTCCCATTTTAACATTTCAATTTTGAGGTAACAATGCATAATTTTTTGATCTTGTAATGAAAATTTTTAGTCTCTCTTCTGCCGTTTAATAATATTAATTTTTCATATTACTGTGTACTCTTTGATCAACCCTCAAATGGTATTCTTTCTTATTAGAAAGCTGACATACTACTTTTTATAACTTTATTTTAATTTAATATTTCCATTATTTTTCTTTGCCAGGTCAAGCAGTCAATGTATATTAGGTGGAGATGGGAGATCCGAAATAGTTTTTTGGGTATTTGTCTCAATGAAGGTGCTGTATATTAGAATTCATCGTGGATTTGGGTGAACATTAACTGTTGCTGAAACAAATTAATCACGTCGACAAGATCTGGAGATTGTTCGCGACAATGAACTTGCCACTCGAAAAGTTGAAGCAACTAGTTTTGAAGTATTGTGGATTCTTTCATGGTTGATATTAGTAACCTTTAGTAATGCAAGTCAATTGCCTCCAACTTGATATTATGTACCAAAAGGGTTAACGCCTGATAGCCAAAATATCGTTGTGTGCAATGCCATTGTTGAAGGATGAATTTGGGTAACTGAAATTTCCAATATATGTCTTGAAGTTCCAATTATTTTTCTTAGAAACTCCCCGGGAGAGAGCGTGTGAAAAAAAGTAAGTAAAAAACATTGTATTTTGCTTCACCAGCATTTTAGGATACACTAGATGTCCCAATCAAATTTGGAGAACCACTTTCTAGGTCCCCGTGTGTGTGTGTGTGTGTATATATATATATATATATATATAATTTTTCCACATTGCTTGTGAAAAGCTTTCATTGTGAGTTTATAAGCACATTGGGCAATATTGACTTACAAGTTAACTACTTTGAGGTTTGTCGAGTTGGTGGAGCAGGTGAACGTGGAGATCAAATGTCACGAGTTTGAATTCCATGTCAACACTTCCTCGATCGAGCTCGTCGTACCGAGCTTGCCAGTACGGTTTATCTCTTCTGTGTAGTTTGTGGGCTACTGCATGTGGAGCGGAATTTACCTAGTGCTCACTCACAGTGGTCGGGCCTCCGCCCCTTCGGGGTGGTCGGGCCTCCGCCCCTTCGGGGTGGTCAGGGCTCCGCTGAAGGGTAGCGACTATGGGTTCCTACGTCAACAAAAAAAAAATATTAACTTTCAAGTTTTTAAAAGGAGTTCTCTCCAAAGCGATGATTACTATAGGTATTAGAGTTACACCTTGCGTGGGGTTTAAACGTTTAAGAGTTTTTAAAATGAGTTCTTCCCAAAGGAGTATGTAGCATGTCATTTAATTATCTAGGGTTTAAACGTGTAAAGTTGAGATGGCCGATTGGCTAGATTGAGTTCTTGAGAAGCTTGTCAGTATTTTTTTGTAGATAGAATCTCGTGTAGAAAATTCAAGTTATAAGTGTTTGGTGCTCAAAAGATTGAAGACAAACTATAGTAGCATCTTGCTTCCATTTTCTAAAAGCCCCGAGTTATGACACATTTACAAACACTTGTAGCATCCAAAGTTGAATAATGTTATTTGTCACTCTACATGACATAAAATGATAGGGATTTAGAGTCCATGTTATTGAATGTATCATTCAATATCATCGATATCATCATCATAAGTGATGGTAAAATATCACTACTCAACTTAAAAATGTTATCTCGTGAATAATATCTCATTTTTCTTCTTATGAACTGTATAAATTGTTTCGTACTGGAGGACATAATCGCACTCTTAGAGTTTGTTTAGGAGGGATTTTAGTCCAATTAAAATTGAAAATATAACCGTTATTGGGTATCACTCATCTAATAAAAGTTAACAATAACGGCTAATTTTTCAATTTTAATCCGATTTTAATCCTTTCCAAACAAGCTCTTAATATTCGTATATACTTTTTGCAATCAAGCAATCTTCAATGAGCAAAGAACATGTAATCTCGTCTATTACTTACATCATTTAATCTTTGATCAAAATTACTTGAAAGGTCGAATTACTCGAATATGATTCCAATAAAATAAATAAATAAACAAACAAGTTGGGGACCAACACACTACAACTCAAATAGGTTGGGACCTTACTTACAATTTTACCCACAGTAATGTGTCAAATGCATTTTTAATTTTATTTCCAACTACAAATTTTCTCCTTTCAAATCAAATCCCAAAATCTCTCTGTGAATATCATAATTCAAATGCCTAATTAATTACGCAGAAATTCGCCAAACAGAAGGAATTGCCGATGTCTCACCTCACCAGTAAGTAATAAAAACCCTAACTCTTTGTATATGTGTACACAACTAATCAATTGTTCTATTTTTTTCCATTATTTTTCAAAAAAGATTCAGACTTGGGATAATACGAAGCGATTTTTTTCCCTTATTTTTTGCGTGATTTCAAGTGATTTAGGTAATAATTTAGAATTTCGAAGTTTCCGTTAATGAGGTAGATTCATGAATATGTTTTAATGGAACAATCCATGGAAGTGCGAATAGTAGACTATGAACATTGTATGTATTTATAAAATAGTAAAGGTTTGGATTTCTCTGAATTTACCTTTTTTTTTACCTTGTTAAAGTTCGATGTAGCAAGGCCCTCTGCAGCGATTTTTGTTCAGTAATTAAATTCATATATATGAATTTTGAGCTCTCTGGATCAGATTATAATTTTCCGCTGTGCAGTGCATTTTGATAATGATTTGAATAATTAGCATTTCCTCACTTATGAAAAAGGGCCAGCTTCTTTTTTTCCTTCAAAAGTTAATATTTCTGTTCATGCACTTGTTCCCATGTATTTTCGTATATTTATTTCCTGANGAATTCAAGTTTGGATTGATGTTACTAAACTCTAATTTAATTGCAATCTGCTGTCAATTTAATGTTGGTCGATTCAAAACTAGATAGCAGGTAAGTGTGACACCAAAAACCAAATTAATCTTTGAAACAATCCGTTGCAAATCAATTTTATAAAGGAAAACACCTCAACTCAAGCCCAAGATCATGGAACTTAATTTTAGGAAAATCATTTGCCTTGACAGCCTTGCAATCACAGAAAATCTCGTGTATCAGTCAAGGCTTAATCTAAGCATTTCTCCCTAGTATAGACCTCATATTCTTGTATAAATATCCAAGTAATTCTCTGCAGTTTTGTGTGTGAAAAACATTGTGTAAATTGAGCAGTAACTCAATCTTGAAATACTATCAAACTTCATCAAATTTATTGCTTCAGAGAATTATGCAATTACAGTTACATGTATCATACGAGTTCTGAATTCGAATAGCAAATTAAAATGGAAGCAAATTCAACCCATGGAACGAACACAACCTTCCCATCAACTTGTTCTAGCAGCATTCCATGGCACCACACAGGCGAGTGCAGACAGCATTGATGCCATATGTTGCCAGTGTTCTGTCGCTCTCCACAACAAGGTAGGTCGGATCCCCCTGAAATTTTTCTCCAAAGCATTGAATCGTCCAAAGCATTGAAAAATTTTCTGTCATTCTCCAAAGCATTGAATCGTCTTAGTGGACATTATTCTTCCACTGAATTCCATTAACTGCACAGAAATTCTTTGCCTAGCACTTGAAGAAGCTGAGCTATTTTACAGGGAACTTGTATCAGAATTCAAAACAACAGGCAATGTGTAACTATCATGCTCAACATCCTCAACCAATCACTTCAACATATAGCAAACTGCCCACACCCGAACCATAGCAACAGAGGACTGAGTAGCTTAATGAAATAGAAATGTACAAATTACACCAAGCTCTTTCTAGTTTAAGCACCTGCCCAGAACCCTCAAGCATTATAAATGTAACAATTACAACCAGCTGCACCTATGTAAATCTTCTGCCCAACACAGAACCAGCATAACCAGCAGAAACACAGAATCAGCAGAAAGCATAACCAGCTTCTACCCAACACAGAACCAGCATAACCAACCAAAAGGATCTTCATTCATACCTTCCATAACATGGTACTTCAATGCTACTAATTTTGTATAAGTTGTTCTTCAACAGTAAGCACATTACCGTTTTCAGCTGCAGATCTCCGGAATTAGCTCGGTCTCTTTGGGCGATACTCTTCTAAAGGGAATGCCGAGGTCAAGGAAGACAATGGCGTCTTCGGCTTGAAGGAAGACACGCCATTTTACGGCAAGGGGATATTGTTGTTTTTTTTTATTAACACTAAAATGCAAACAGGTAAGATTCCTACTTTAAGACCAAATTTTTGCAAAAATCTGAAACTGATATATCATACTGTCCTCCGTCCATTTGGATTTTGCTAGCTCCCTTCTTAAATCTTTTCACGAACTACAAAAATGGATAATTTTGACTAGCTAGCAGGCCCTTTCTTTGCGAAAATGTGCCAAATGGACGGGCCTCAGATCTCACAGATCTGAAACTGAAAAATATTCAACACTCATTTCATGTAATTTTGTGTACTGATTTTGTATTTTGGAGTTCAATGCTAGTCCATAACTGTAACGAAGAGTTTGATTTTTCATAGCATTTACCGTTTTGTGAATCAGCTCCGTCCTCGCAGCTTGGCATTGAGCTCAGTCACAGCTCTGTCCTCGCAGCTCAATCTTGAGCTCAGTCACTAGGAATCCTTGTTTTCAGCCAGGGTACAAGATCGATTAGGAAGACAACGGCGAACGCGAAAGCAACTCACTTCGAAAGAAAAGGGCGGGGTCGAAGGAAGAAGGAAGAAGGAAGCAAAGGGTGCAAATGAATGCCAAATCCCTCCATTTTGTCTAACATATCGCGTTTCAGCCAGGCACGCCCCTTTCACGTGAGTTTTTTAATTTTCTGTACAGTTTCTGGCATTTACTAACTGTACACCCAGCATTATTCCAACTACAAATTTTCTCCTTTCAAATCAAAATCCCAAAATCTCTCTTTGAATATCATCATTCAAATGCCTAATTAATTACGCAGAAATTCGCCAAACAGAAGGAATTGCCGATCTCTCACCTCACCAGTAAGTAATAAAAACCCTAACTCTTTGTGTATGTGTACACAACTAATCAATTGCTCTATTTTTTACCATTATTTTTCAAAAATGATTCAGACTTGGGATAATACGCAGCGATTTTTTTCTCTTATTTTTTGCGTGATTTCAAGTGATTTAGGTAATAATTTAGAATTTCGAAGTTTCCGTTAATGAGGTAGATTCATGAATATGTTTTAAACTTTTAATGGAACAATCCATGGAAGTACGAATAGTAGATTATGAACATTGTATGTATTTATAAAATAGTAAAGGTTTGGGTTTCTCTGAATTTACATTTTTTTTTTACCTTGTTAAAGTTCGATGTAGCAAGGCCCTCTGCAGCGATTTTTGTTCAGTAATTAAATTCATATAAATGAATTTTGAGCTCTCTGGATCAGATTATAATTTTCCACTGTGCAGTGCATTTTGATAATGATTTGAATAATTAGCATTTCCTCACTTATGAAAAAGGGCCAGCTTCTTTTTTTTCCCTTCAAAAGTTAATATTTCTGTTCATGCACTTGTTCCCAGGTATTTTCGTATATTTATTTCCTGATTATCTCAAAATGTAGGATTGCGGCAAATTAATGGCTGACTTGGCTGTTACAGATTATATGTAGTTCCTGGTGCTAATGTGAATCTGCATAGTTTGATTATGAAACTGAAATGTCCCTGATTTTGTATTTTATACTTTATATTATTGATGCTTTTCATGATTAGTCTTTTTTTTTCCCTCACATTTCCAAATTTCTAGGGCTTTCAGAAAGTTTTCAACTGGGTACCATATACAGTGTTTTCTTCAGCAAACGTTGTCAAGTTTCTTATTGATTAATTGTCTTTATTTCTGTGGTATCTATTTGTGAGTTGTTGACATTGTCGTGATGTAGAAATTCTGTTTGTAAAGTGATGCTTAATTGGTGCAAGGTACAGAATAGGCAGTCGTTTTAACTTTTCTCATCTCTTTGGTTGAAAATGTCCTGATTAGTGTCATGTATTCAATATTTTTTAGTGGAAATGCAAAATACAGTGGATGGCGGCTGTGGAAGAATAGAAGCATCAGCAGTAGTTGACTCGACTTTTTGTGTAGCTGACAGACACCATGAACCCTATGAAGGTATGCTATTTGAATCAGAAGATGCTGCAAGAGCGTACTATGATGAATATGCTGGACGGACAGGTTTTGCAACTCGCATTTTATCATCCCGTAAGTCAGAGCGTGATGGATCAATTATATCACGCGGATTAGGATGTAGAGGGATTCCTGATAATCATAGGTCAGATACCGTTCTCAATGAAAAGGGTGAAAAAAGACGGGAAAGCTGTACAGCAATGATTGTAGTTAAGAGAGACAAGCCAGGGACGTGGATTGTTAGGAAATTTGTAAGGGACCATAATCATCCCTTGGTGGTTTCACTGTCTAAGAAGCGTCCAACGTTTGTAAGTTTCATGCCTTCTGTTAATTGTCAATTCCGTTTTAGTGTTTTAACTATTTTCGTAAGGTTTATCCTTCTCTTCCTCCTCCTATTGGTGTGTGTCTGTCTGTGTGTCATATTTATGTTTTATCCCTTTTCAGTCCTTTAAGAGTCTTCATCTCATTTTTGAGTATACCAAGTAATAGTCTACGCACACATCTACATAAAATATTTTAACCTTTCATTTTGTTTATTGAATAGACCAAGGCATGAGGGTTCTTGGTGAAACTTGTAAGTGTATGTTATGCAAGACAATAGCATGTATGGATTTATTACTCCTATAGTCCTATTAGATGCTATGGAGGAAGTTATAAATAGCCAGAAAAAAGGGATGCAAAATAAAAAAGGAAAATGAATACGCAGGCGCAAAATGAAGCACCGATTAATAAACTCAAATCAAAGACTTATGAATCTAGAGATGGATTTCTGTACTCCAAAGTTTTCTTCGACTAGGAGGTGGTTTATGGCATATGAACACATTTTAAATGCATTTGTAGCCCCTATTTGGTACACATCAAAATTTTTCATTTTCATTATTCTACTCATTTTCAACCACACATTCTTCAATAAAATAATATTTTCCATCACATCAATAACTTTTTCTTCTTTTTCAACTACAAATTCTTCATCAATCCACTATTCCAGAATACATTCTTCCAAAATAATGTGGCTCAAACACACTCGTAATCTCAATTGATGGATTAATTAATTACATTTGGACTAATATATTATTTTTATATATGAGTTAACAAATTTTCAAAGGTGAGAGAGAATCAAAGACTCTTTGCTTTTAAAAGATAAAGAGGCAGTTCCCAATTTCTTTAAAAAAATCTTAAAAGCTACATCGGAATGCCCTCCCTGGTTGGCTATAAACTCGTCTGTAAAGAACTCGACTTAGGTATAAAATTGGCTGGGCCCAAGGATATATGATTTTTTATTAAGCTCTCTTTTACCTATTAATATGGCATGCCTGAGTGTTTTGAATTACTTTTTAATCTGATGTGAGGTCATTAATTAGTCAGACTGCACTTTCCTGCAATAAGTAGTGATGACGGTATTTGATTAGATCCGCGGTTTGAAGTCTTTATTGGAAATGTATTTAGAAAATAGTAACGCTAATTTTATTAACCGCATTTGTATCAAGAATATAAAGAGAGCTGCTTGGAAATGTCAATTTTATTTATTATTCCTGATCTGGATGTAACCTTTTCCTCGAAAGACTCATCCTCTGGCAAAAGCTTGACTTTATTACTTAAATCACCTGGATGACTGTGAGAAAGAAAACCAGATTTTATGTCTGAGGCCAAACAAGAAGAAAACTGCATTCACTTTCTTTTTTTCAATTAAGGGAACAATAAACTAGACTATTTGATGCAAGATTCTTGCGCAATTATCTGATCATTTTCATTGCGATTTATAGTTATTTTCCTTCAGGCAATCGCACATGCAGTTTATTATCTATTATCTCATTTGGATTTTTAGCACAACTTCTTGAATGTCAAGGACAATGTATTTTCTTGAGCTTTTTGCACAGGCATGAAATTCCACTATTTATTAACGACTTGTCGAACATTATTTTAATCCAGGTCATGTTATTTTTGTAGGATGAGAAAGATAAGAAGATTCAAGAACTAACTGCAGAACTCCGAGTGAAGAAACGGTTAAGTGCAGCATATCGAGATCAGCTACTTACTCTCATGAAAGACGTTGAAAATCATAATGATCATTTGACTGGGAAAGTTCAAATTGTCCGTAACAATTTGAAGGAACTTGAAGCTAAAAGACTGCATCTTTTAGACCACATCCAACCACGCTCGTAGGGTAAGAGCAGATATCATGTCCATCGTAATGAACACATGGTACTCATTAAATCACCACCAATTTATTGGTAAAGTATTTTTGCCATCGAAAACTTGGCCAAGGTTCCATTTCTTCGGTAAACTTAGTTTTTACATTTACTTGTCAATCAGAATGGTGTCCATGTCCACCAACAAATTGGTTGAAATTGTATGAGTTGCACATAACAGTTCTTGTGGAAATTGAGAAAATTTACAAGCTTTATCCAAACTAAAAATGATTTCTGTGCATCGCCATTGTTACTCATGTTTCTTTGAGATGCATTTGTGTGCTTGAACTGATTTAGGCTCAGGTACAAATCAAGATCTTATTCTGGAGATTTACCTCTAATTGCTTAATCTCATCTCCCATTCCAAGATAATGAACTTGTAATGGGTGCAAAACAAATGAGCTTTGAATATGGCCAGGGTTATGAATCTGGTGTTCAGTGTAATCTTTTAGGAACTGTGAACCTTGATGGATATTACCATATTTTTCAGAGTCATGGAAATGCACCACTAAGGAGAATTTGATAGAAGTGGTTATGGATAGTGCTATGGCAATTTTATGGCATTTTGGATGGTGGCTGTGCCGTAACTACTGGTGACAGGCAAAATGTACCTGGACATAGTCAATGCTACTAAGACCGGCTGCTGGTGGCAGTCTGAGTTGGAGAAAATGGATTTTTGTTTTCTATTTGTTGAACCACCTTGTTTAGCAACAAAGGGATGAATTTATTATTTTTGTTTATATATTCAAACTACCCTCCCTTAAAGTGCAACCGGGGTTCATTTTTTGTTCAAAGGTCTAGCACGTAAAATTTTCATAAATGAGTGACTATTAGACTTGCACCTAGGCCTTTTTGTTAGCTTTGATACCGTGTTGAACCGACTCACTGGGAAAAAAAAATTACTTACATTAAAATTTTCAATGCTTTTTATTTTTATTTTATCCATCAAGCTACTGATAGTAATACCGTCTCCTGGAAATGTGTCAGCTGCCGTTCACTAGTGACAATTACTATTAAATTTGTCTAGGACATGGATTCAATTGCTTCATTGAAATGTCAGAACAGAAGTTTGATAACCGAAAATGGAACCTAATTAATTTTTATCTTCCATACCGGTTATTTAATTCTTGTCTTCCCGTGTATGTGGGGAAATTGTCAAGTGTATTTGATTTTTTAGCATCTATATTCATTTTCGATATATTCATCACACAAAAATGATTAACAATGTTTAATGTATTTGTGGAGCAGAGATGGCGGGAAGCTGTTGTGTCAATGAACAGGAGTTTGTCGACGGGGTTGCCATATCAAAGGTCTTAGATACCAAGGTTTGTGACTTGATAGTAGTTGTGTTGTGTATAAGAGTGAGCATTTGAATCTGAGGAACAAAGGTTCAAACTAATTGCTTAACAGCACCACATTGAGTCACATGGGAAGTTTTTGGATGCGGCTCCTTTCTTTAGCAACTCTTAGCCCGGAATTCACAGCTACTGTTAGCCTTGCATTTTCTAGTTAGGAAAACACGATAGTGTATAATGTTGAATTGGTAATGATCCCTAGAGAAGCTACGAAAGGCATCTTCGACTGAGCAAGTTTCCGAGAGAGAGAGAGATGGCTATTATTATAGCCTTTGAGCTTGAATGTGTTCTTAATGGCTATACATGTACTTAAGTTTGAATAAGTGGCGGATCCAAGATGATACGTCAGTTAGGGTGGTCGTTGACAATTCACCACCGACAGTCAATGATCGTAATAGCGATGTCATTTATTAATATTTAATTAAATAATATAAAAAAAAATTCTTCAATCCATGTGTAAATGCACTAAAACGTAAAACAAGGTATTAAACCATCATCAAGTTTCAATTTCCAATTTCCAACAACGATTTATTATTTATCATATAAATTCACCAGTTTCTTATTTTCATTTATGACAAATTAAATTCATGGTCCACAAATATCAAATATTCTCAAATATCATAAATCATAAGCATCACCTATCAACAGTGAAATCCCCAATATTCCCGAATTCGCAGAATCTCGAATTTTCCAATTAACCAATGTCAATAGGCTCATAGACGGTCATAACTCGTAAAACATAAATAATAACTCATATATGATAAATTGAAAAATGAACTAAACTCTAAAAGAACAAAAATCGAAAAAAAAAAGGAAAGAAAGGCGGCACACATATTGATTCACAAGAGCGATGCAACCACGCAAACCAGTGGCGGAGATCGGAGAGGCTAGTGTCGAGGTGACGACTCGTCGACGGCCGGCAGCAATCACGCTGTCACAGGACAGGGGCTGGGTGCGGGGGAGGGAGAATAGAGATAGGATTTACACAATTGCACTGCCAATTTCGTTTGGAATTACAAATGAAATTTGTGGTACAATTTTTCCTCTTTCTGATTCAATACAAACCAAGTTATCTCATATTAGATTGGGTTTTTAATATGAAAAAATGAAAAAACAACAAGAAGAAGCAAAAGGCCCAATTCAAACAATTAAATACCAAAAAGGCACAATCCAATTGCTTTCATCTTCAACCTCGAGTCCTCATCCTTAGCCCCTGCGTTTTCTGATTGAAGTTTTCTGCAGTGGCTCCGGATCGGCCATGATGACTCTGGCGGCGCCAGCATGCGTGGTCGCTCCCCCTCGCAGGGTGCGGCCCCGCCACTAGTTTTGAATTTTGGTTCAAATTATTTCTTATTTAAGAACTTCTCCTACTTCGTCTATAAATAATATTCAATCAGACATGTCAGGTCGTGCAGAAACAAGCACTTGATGTTGTTCCTCTTAGTCGTTTGGCATATTTTTATGCAAGTTAAACCATCTCAGATAAAGTATCTATTTCCTACTTTTTTTCAGATAATGATCTTAGATAAATCATTTTCATGTGTTATTACCGGGTTTTTGTTTGGTGTTCAATTCAAACATAGTATTACTTCTATACTTCTTTTCAGAGTTGACAGAAGCTACTGGAAGTTAGACATTAGGCGCCAAAATTAGTTAGGATGCTAAGCTGTTAATTACTCTAGTTCCCGCCCAAATTGTATCACTTCACTTTACTATTTGTACTGTAATTGCTCTTCACTTACGCAATAAGAAATTGAAATTTTCAGATCTTCAATTCTCTCTCAATACTTTAATATGGTATCAGAGACACTTCTGATTCTTCTTCCTCGCCATTGAATTCAGCTTATTCATGGCAAATATTACTATTCAAAATCAAAATTTATCTTCATCGATGAGTCAATTCGCCATTGATGATGCTTCAAGTCCTTATTATCTTCATCATTCAGACAGTCCAGGTTCAGTTCTGGTTTCTCAGCCATTGACGGGCGAGAATTACACTTCATGGAGCCGCGCCATGACCATAGCTCTCTCCGTGAAGAATAAACTAGGTTTTGTCGATGGATCTATTACTAAGCCTGATGAAAATGAAGATCTCCTCAGATTTTGGATCCGGAACAACAATGTAGTTATCTCATGGATACTTAATTCAGTTTCAAAAGATATTTCAGCTAGTATTATATACTCCGAATCAGCTCATGAGATTTGGCTTGACCTCAGGGAGCGCTTTCAGCAGAGGAATGGTCCTCGGATTTTCCAATTGAGAAGAGATTTAATGAATCATACACAGGGACAATTGTCTGTTGGTGCTTATTTCACTAAGCTCAAGACTATTTGGGAGGAACTTAGCAAGTATCGCCCTTCTTGCTCATGTGGACAGTGCAACTGTGGAGGANAAAGTTTTTCTTATTTCCAGAGATGTAATCTTTCACGAGCACATTTTTCCTTTTCATTCTATTGCCAAAAATTCTGATTTTATTGATGACTTTCCTCATCTTGTTCTTCCTATTTCTTTTCCTGATAATTCTTTTCCATCAAACTCTCATGTCACAGGTCCAAGTTCCACTTCATCCGCTTCTTCTGATTACACTCTCAACACTCCTTCTTGACATCTTGATTCATCTTCCCTCTCTCCTGATCAGCATATTTTTCCCACTCCTGTGGATGCTCCTATCAGAAGATCTCTTCACCTTAACAAACCTCCATCATACTTAAAAGATTTTCATTGCAAACAATCTTTTATCTCACAATTCTTCTTCTCCTGATCATAAACATTCTCCTTATCCTTTAAGTGATTATATCAATTATGAAAAGTTCTCTTCCACTCATAATCACTTGCTCCTGAATATTTCATCCCACACAGAGCCTCAACATTATCACCAAGCTATGCAACACACCCATTGGAAGGATGCCATGGCTGCTGAGTTATCTGCCATGGAACAGAATAAAACCTGGTCTGTCACCTCTTTGCCTCAAGGAAAGCACTCTATCGGTTGCAAGTGGGTTTACAGGATTAAATATAAATCTGATGGAGCTGTTGATCGTTTCAAAGCACGCCTGGTAGCGAAAGGTTATACCCAACAAGAGGGGCTTGATTTTCTAGAAACTTATTCTCCAGTGGCAAAGTTAGTGTCTGTGAAGCTTTTGCTGGCTATTGCAACCATTAATCAGTGGCATATTATACAGTTGGACGTCAACAACGCGTTTCTTCATGGTGATTTGTTTGAGGAAATTTATATGGACTTACCGTTGGGTTATGTTCCTTCCATTTCTCCTCCCAAACAGGGGGAGCGTCTGGTCTGTAAATTGCATAAGTCCATTTATGGGCTAAAACAGGCCTCTAGACAGTGGTTTTCGAAGTTCTCTCGTGCTCTTTTGCTCCAAGGTTTTCATCAGTCCAAATCTGATTATTCATTGTTCACTAGAGGTGCTGGATCGAGTTTTGTTGCCCTCCTTGTATATGTAGATGATATAGTCATCACTGGTCCCAATTTAGAGGTCATCAATAATTTGAAGTCAGCCTTACATCAAATGTTTAAGTTGAAAGATCTGGGGAAGCTCAAGTATTTTCTTGGCCTAGAGATTGCTCGATCTCACAAAGGCATTGTCTTGTCCCAAAGACATTATGCCCTTCAGTTACTAGAAGATACAGGCTTTCTTGCTAGCAAACCTGCAGCGTTACCTATGGATCCCAAAGTTCGTTTGAACTCCTTTGAGGGGGAGTTGTTGGAAGATAGTTCTATGTATAGACGTTTGGTTGGAAGATTACTATATCTTACTATATCTAGGCCCGACATTACCTTTACAGTACATAAACTCAGTCAATATGTTTCTCAGCCCAGAAAACCTCACTTAACTGCAGTCCATCATTTGCTGCAATACATCAAGGGTACTCCAGGCCAAGGTCTTTTGTTTTCAGCTGATTCTTCATTACAGTTGCGTGCATTTTCTGATGCAGATTGGGGGTCCTGCTTAGATTCCAGGAAATCTATTACAGGTTTTTGTGTTTTTCTTGGGGACTCTATGGTGTCATGGAAAGCCAAGAAACAGAACACCGTGTCTAGGTCGTCTGCAGAAGCTGAGTATCGTGCACTGGCCTCCACTGCTAGTGAATTGATGTGGATTCATCAATTGCTTCTTGATCTACACATAAACTCCAAGATCCCTGTGGTAATATTCTGTGACAACCAAGCAGCAGTACACATTGCTACCAATCCTATTTTCCATGAGAGGACCAAACATATTGAAATAGATTGTCACTTTGTAAGAGATAAAATCAATGATGGTTTCATCAAGTTGCTGTCGGTTCGAACAAATCATCAGTTAGCTGATATTTTCACAAAGCCATTACCAGCATCTTCTCTATTTCCATTGCTTTCCAAGATGGCTGTTATTGATTTATACCATCCATCTTGAGGGGGAGTTTCAGAGTTGACAGAAGCTACTGGAAGTTAGACATTAGGCGCCAAAATTAGTTAGGATGCCAAGCTGTTAATTACTCTAGTTCCCGCCCAAATTGTATCACTTCACTTTACTATTTATACTGTAATTGCTCTTCACTTACGCAATAAGAAATTGAAATTTTCAGATCTTCAATTCTCTCTCAATACTTTAATACTTCTCTTGAACTGTACGTTCAGCAACTATAACTTTTAACTTCACTTGCACTTTAAGGTTGGATTTGAAGTTGACATTGCTCCAAACTTGGTATGCGAATGCGTTTTGTAGGATGTCTTCTATATCCCTTACGAGGTTGGATATTGTGCGAAGTTGATGCTCCTTTTAAGCATTAACTAACTTAAATTTGTTTTATCATACTAAACAATGGAACGTGGCGAATGACTTGACAAAGATATTAGTATGTTTTACTAAATATAATTAAAAATGAATAAGAAAGAAATAATATTGCACCATACATAACAATATTGACAGCTGAGAATTATATGTAACAATATTGCACCATACATATGTCGTGCAGAAACAAGCACTTGATGTTTTTCCTCTTAGTCGTTTGGCATATTTTTGCGAGTTAAACCATCTCAGATAAAGTATCTATTTCCTACTTTTTTCAGATAATGATCTTAGATAAATCATTTTCATGTGTTATTACCGGGTTTTTGTTTGGTGTTCAATTCAAACATAGCATTACTTCTATACTTCTCTTGAACTATACGTTCAGCAACTATAACTTTTAACTTCACTTGCACTTTAAGGTTGGATTTGAAGTTGACATTGCTCCAAACATGGTATGCGAATGCGTTTTGTAGGATGTCTTCTGTATCCCTTACGAGGTCGGATATTGTGCGAAGTTGATGCTCCTTTTAAGCATTAACTAACTTAAATTTGTTTTATCATACTAAACAATGGAACGTGGCGAATGACTTGACAAAGATATTAGTATGTTTACTAAATATAATTAAAAATGAATAAGAAAGAAATAATATTGCACCATACATAACAATATTGACAGCTGAGAATTATACGTAACAATATTGCACCATACATATGAATACAAAGGGAAAGTGGAAAATGGCAAAAATACTAGTAATCAAATACTTGAAATTTTTAATATAATCAACAAAAAAATATGATGGGATTTCTACGCTAAACCAACGAGGGAAAATGTTTTGTACTCGCTATAAGAGATAAAATTTTAAGGGTGATGCTAACGGTATATTGAAGTGTACATCGGGGGTTACACTCTCCTCACATGGGGGATGAGACCCGTTCTAATGTACACCACTTGATGTACAAGTGAAATTACCCAAATTTTAATTCCATTCATTATTGTAGGGTGAAATCCAAGGGCAAAAGCCGTAAATAGGGTTGGAGACAGACGAGTTTCGAGTCGTTCTCGAGTCCCCAAGTACAATTTATATACAAACAAGCCAAAAATGGCGAAGAAAAATGCTTGAAAGAACCCTATGTATATACAAAGCCGAGAGAGAGAGAGACAGAGAGAGACAGAGAGAGACAACAAATCAATGCAGCAAATCCACCCCCTTCATCATCTGCTTAAACTCGACAAAATTCACCGCACCATCACCATCCACATCAACGTTCATGATCATCTTCTTACAGTCCTCTGCAGTTCTTCCTTGCCTAAGCCCAAGTGATGCCAAAATCGATTTCAGTTCATCAACGGTTATAAACCCATCACCATTTTGATCAAACACATTGAATGCATCTCTCATATCTTCATCCTCGTCTTTCTCGTTTATTATCGTTTGGTACAAAGAATCAAATTCATCAATATCCACAAAACCATCTGCATTAACATCGATTTTCTCTATCATTTGAATCAACTCCATGTCGGGTATGAAAATACCCATTTTCTCTAAGGAATCGTTGAGCTCCTTTTTGGTGATCCGTCCATCTCCGTTTTGATCGAACATTTCGAAAACCCTTTTGAGTTCAGCGGCATCCATTCGACGGCGAAGTCGAGGAGAAGGTGAAATGGGTTCTTCGAGGAGATTGTTGGGATTGGGATACCAAGAAGAAGGGAGGTAGATCCTTAGTTTTTTAGGTACTAAGTAAAGAAGAATCGTGTTGAGGAGATTGTATGCAAGCAAAATCCTCAATAAAATGGTTGGCATTGTATGAATTGGTGTGAGTGAGAGCAAGTTTGTGTTTGTGTTTGTGGTGTGTGAGGAAAAAATTGGAGTGAGATTTGGGAGTGGGGTGGTGGAGCTAAATAAGGGAGAATGGAGAGAGGAAAAAACATTTGCAATTATAAATTTTATGGAAGGAAAGTGGGAGGAAAGAATCAAAATAATAAAAAAGAGGGTAAATTTCATATTAACTTACATATAGGTAAATTTTAATTTATCTCAATTGGATAGTTGAACTTTCACTTAACTTATCTCTCAAATTCATAAAAAAAAAAAAATATTTAATTGGTAATTATAATGAATCTTTTATTTGAATTAAGCTAAATGTAAAGGAGAGATGCTAGTGGTACATCACCACTAATATCGGGGTATCCATAATGGACACCTGGTGCTATATCATTAGAGAGAGGGTCTGTAGGGTCGGCACTCCCTCCAATGAGGAGGTGTCGGGTGTCCATTATGGACACCCTTATCTTAATGGTGATGTACCATTAGCATAATTCAATGTAAAGAGGGTCGATTCACAAATGTCTTATCGAGCCTCACATGAGGTGGGTCCCGATCTGATTAAAATTTGGTTCAAATTCCCCCTTAGCATTACTCCTTTTATTTGCTAGATATGTTAACTTGTCACTATGTCATATACATTATGTTTTCCATATTTAGCGTGGTTTAAAATTTAACATTTAATTTTAACTACACATTTCACGGGCTCACAAATTTTAAATCATACATTTCATCAGCTTTTATTAAAATCTACTAAAAATGTGATTTTTCACTTTACCAAATAGGGGGCTTTATCATTTTCGTTTCTAAGGTATCACATATAGATTTAGTTACATTTTGAAAGTCAACTAATTATTTTTCTGTTCGGTGGACGAAAAATAACACAAGTGATATAATGTGAAGTTTGAAACTAAATTGAATTATAGAGTGAAACATACTAAATGCTATTAAGATTTCGCTGAAAATTCAGTGACTCGAGATGAAACGTGCGGTTGAAAAAACCATTCAATTGATACTTTATTGAAAGATGAAGGAAAGTATGCAATTATAGAATCAATTCATTAAAACTTAACGCGTCTTTGAATTATGGAGTAATTAATTAAAAGAGGGAGCGAGATTCTTTTGGAAACGCGTTTTTATAATTGCGTGTTTGGTGATTAAGGTGCGTGCTCGGTTGACCTAACTCTCTTTAATTTTAAAGCGAAAAAATAAAAATAAAAAATTAATGGGGCCATCCATAGATAACGCGGGATTGGGGAATAGTGACACGTGGAAGGCTGGCACAGCCTAGTATTATTTTGGTGGGTCCAGAGGACAACAAGAAGATGCCATTTTTGGTCGAAATTAATTAATTGATGGAGGAGTGGATCTAATTATTTTATTAGATGGTTTTGCCTGTCTTTAAAGCAAATTAATGAATACTCCTGCAAATTTATGCCATTATTTTTTTTAATTATTACCCACATTTTTCAGACTCAACCCAAATATTAAGGGCATGTTCTCTTTACTATTTTCAAACCATTTTCAGTTTTCAATTTTCAAAAACACTAAAAACACGTTTACTTATCTATTTTCAAAAACGAATTTAAAATTTACAAAGAAAAAAGAAAACGTCAAAAATATTGTTTTGGCTATTTTCAGTTAAAACCAAGTCAAAACTTCATTTTTTTAATTTTTGAAAATAATTTTTCAAAATGACAAAAAGAACGCGTTTTTAACAATCTCAAAATGACACTCAAAACACAAAACCCAAAATGAATTCAAAACTAAAAACTGAAATACGAAGAGAACAACCCCTAAGCGACTAAGCCGAACAAAAAAAATGTGTTCCTAGGTCATCGGTTCAACTACTAACCACGGACTGTGATTCTCACCATTAACACCCCTCTAGATAGTGAACATCACAAATGAAATTCATTAGAGTAATACTGTTTATCATCACCAAGAAGTGGAATCCACTTATTGTTGATGAATGAAACTTCATTCCAACTTAATTTGACAATAATGTACTTGGAGCCTAGATTACTTAAAGCATTACTCTTAGTTTAAATATGTTGTCCCGACATAAAACTCCCACCATTAAAATTTCGACATGTCACAATACCTTCGAGGTGTCAATTGTTTTGTGAAATACAAATAATTTTTGTGTTTTTAAATTAACTATTTCTACTTAAATTTTGCCCACAAAAATCTTTTTTTGTCAACAACCAAGCATCCGGAACATAAATAGTCTTGTAATGGCCAAACAAACCCAACTGAACAATGTTGATAATCTCTACTCAACTCTTCTTGAAAGGCAAAATTATAAGAAAGCACTTTCCAGTTGCCCCATGAAGTATACTTAGCTTTTGAAATTGTAGCTTTCACGTGTAACCAACCTTTGATGGTCGTCTTGAGCTCCCTGGCACGCTAATTGTATATCTTGCATCGGGTGATTGTCAATTCTTGTAGGTAGAATTCACCTTTAAAACCAGCAAGGGAAATGAGGATGATCAGAATGCTTATAAGCCCATTAGACAGACATTTCACAAGCGATGAGGGACAATTAGACTGTTACACTTGTCTTAGTGAATCAGCTCTAGAGCCTGCCTTGTCCTTATTTCATGTTGTAATACCGGAAGGATCAAAGAATATGCACTACGCGTCTACGCCTTGAACAAGTAGAATATGAACATAAGAAGCATTATGCTATGCACCTGGCACTTGAGTTTCACTGGTCAGACTGGTGATACTCGTGAAATAGGTGTTTCTACTCGGGGCAAACATCTATTTAATAGAATGCCAATCAATATTGGGAAGAGTTGAAGTTGACACTCTTGTGTTTACTCCTGAGGATTTGCAAGAAAACACAGTTTTACTTCAACAATCAGGTAGTTATCACTGAATTTGGATGTCACCAGATAAAACAGTAGAATCCAGGAAAAAAAAAAAACTACTTCCGATAAGAAAGCATGAAAGAAAGGTACCTTCACGAAAATTCAAAAATCACACATAAATGCAGACAAATCCTATGAACCAAAAACCTGATTAGCATCATCTACTCTACCCCCGACTAGCACCAAACATTCATAAAAGAAACAAGCAACCACATGTGCAATAACCTTTTCTGACTAAACAGCTATTGAAGAAAATAATGGAGACAAGAAATAGAGGAGCAAAAAAAGCTTAAAATGCCCAACTCTTTACTAATTCAGATTTCAGAGATAAAAAAAAGCCTTTCTTACCCGGAATCATTAGGACGTCACACATGCAGGGAGGAACCACTATAGCTTTGAGCGTATTTGATTCCACGTCAAACCTCAACTTCTGCTCTTCTACACAGAGAACTCTATGCTGGTTCAAATTTTCTTTCTCACGTGTAAAGAGAATTGTGATCTACAGAGGGAGTGGGAGCTCTTGCATCCATGTTCATACACGAGTGCATTTGCTCAATAACAGAGTATAGCTCATCAGACATGGGATGATTTTTATCTCCTGCAACAAATCTATGTGGCTTGTTATCTATATGCACCAAACTGTAACCAGCAACCATTTTTACGCCTCTCTCCTTCACCATCCATCTCATCCTGGAGGCATCAACCCATGAACCACCAGCCGCATAGATGTTTGATGCAAGTAAATATCCAGCAGAAATTGATGGCTCCAATTCAAGAACTTGATCAAGAGCACCTGCACCGAGCTCAGTGTTCTCATAGTTCCTACAAGCACTCAAGAGCGCCCCCCATGCACTAGCACCAGGCTTCATTCCAGCGGGTATCTTCGTAATCATATTAAATGCACTATGAAGCTTTCCAGCTCGAGCCAACAAATCCACAAGGCATGAGTAATGTTCTAGCCTAAGTTCAGCGCCGTGATTTTCTGTCAATTCTTTGAAAAGGAAGAGTCCCTCCTCGACCAAACCTCCATGGCTACATGCAGATAACACAGAGAGTGCTGTTATCAGATTGGGCTTCAAACCATGCACTTTCATCTCTGAGAGCAAAGCTAGAGCATCATGTGGGAGTCCATTCAAGCCATGTGCTGCAATAATCGCGCCCCATGACACGATGTTTTTCTGGGGAATTTGGTCAAAGGCTCTTCGTGATTTATCTATTGCCCCACATTTTGAGTACATATCAAGTATTGCAGTTCCCACTGCCACATTTGATGCCAAGCCCATGCGAATAGCAATTCCATGAGCCCACTTTGATCTTCTAAGTTCAGAGGAAAGTGCACAAGCCTCAAGCAGGTTTATCAGGGTAACATGGTTTGGGTTTTCTTCTGAAAGACGCATCTCTCGGTAAACAGCAATTGCTTCATCAGGCATGCCACAGTTAGTGAACCCTGAGATCATTGTGCTCCAGGTAACTGCATCTCGCCTCTTTATTTGGCAGAATTGCCTCCATGCATAAATAATTCGATCACATTTTGCATATGCATCAATTAAAGAATTTATAACCAACTCATTAGATTCAAATCCTTTCCGAAGTATTCTAGAGTGAATCAACTGGCATTGATGCAGATGCACTAAATACTTGCATATTTGAAGTAGATTAACTATAGTCACCTCATCTGAATCAACTCCTTCGTTTCCCATCAAATGAAAAACCATAAGTGCTTCTGAATACTTCTGATTACGCACAAATCCAGATAACAGAGTATTCCATGACACGATATTTTTCTGAGGCATCTCACTGAATGCTCTAAAGGCAGAATCAATATCACTGCACTTGCAATACAAATCGATCAAAGAATTTCCAACAAACAGATCATAGTCTAAATTTCTTGAGACAATGAAGCCGTGAACTAATTTTGCCATTCTAATTTTGCCTAAATTAGCATATGCTTTAAGCACGCCTACCATTATTTGTCCGTCCATTTTAATTCCAGACTCTGATACCATCTGTTTAAACAACTCTAAAGCAAACAAACTTTCATCACTTTGTGTATATCCTCCAATCATCACAGTCCAAGAAATCACATCTTTATCATGCACTTCATCAAAAAGCTTTCTTGCAAACACCATTCCAATGTCTACATACATACTCAAAATAGAATTCTGTACTGAAGTCAGGCTCCAAAACCCGCTTTGAATCAGATAACCATGAAATTTCAATCCATCGTCAAAAGCTTGAAGTCTATGATATGCCTGAATAACAAGCACAATTGTAGAGATATTAGGTTCAAATCCAACCTCCCTACCCTGGATAAACAACCTCAATCCTTCGTTGGATGCACCTAGATGAAGGTGCCCATGAATGATTATATTCCATGAAACTGAATCTTTTTTCTTCATGCAGTCAAAAACACCCACTGCAGAGCTCAAGGCACCAGATTTTGCATAAAAATCCATTATGGAATTTTGCACAGTGGGGTATGATTCAAAACCCTGCTTAACAAGGGATGCATGGACAGATTTTCCACTTCTGAAGGAGAGAGCTATACAAGCTTTGAGAATGGGAGGGAATATTGAAGAGTCTGTCAGCTGAACACCTGCTCGTTTTATGTCATTGTAGTTGTACAATACCTCTCGCCATTTGCCACTAGAAGGTAGCTCTTTGATATTAGAAAACCAAATGGGGAGTTTAGAACCTGATGAAATAATTGGGAATCGCATACCATGAAACTAATGGAAGGACTGTGGTTAAAGATTTCAATCACAAATGGTAGATGAACCAGACAAATATAACTTTTTGAAATGAATTGCTGATCAAGAAGCTGTAGGATTGACATAAAACCCCTATGTCCCTGTCATATAAGTAGAGAGAGAGTACGTGCGAAAAAAACTCGTGGCTTGAAATTTACCTGCATATTGCCTCGGAATATTAGTCTAGGTATGACCCAGTGGTGGAAATTCATGACATTTAGATTGTGGAAAAAATAGTCCAAGAGATATTACAGCCAATATATTGCAGAAAAGACCGAAAAAATGTACATCACGAAAAATAGAAAATCAACATATCAAACATGCACTATATAGCTTCTAATCATCATTACTAAACATTTAAATCCTGGATTTTCTAATTTCGGTTTTCTTCTTGGCAAATTCAAAGTACTCAATGAGGCCACTAAATATTGCTTGGCCATCAAGCTAGCTACTTTCTTTATCTAATAAAATTCAAAAATGTGTTTCCTTTTGTAGGACTACTGGAATTGCAGATTCAGCTACAGTTGTATAAATGACCAAATTTGACATCCTTTTGAGAAAGCAAGTGCAGGTGATTTGAATTAAGCTGTAGAAACACATTCATACCTATCCATTTGCATTTCTAACCTCACTAATTAGACCTCTGCATCTTATCTCTATCCTTTTTCATATATATAATTCAAATGGGCATTGCTCTTATCCAGATACCAATTTCTTCAAATTACACCGTTCTTTCAAGCGGGATGTTCTAACATCAATGGTGTTTTAAAACTGGGCTAGAGGGAATTGGGGGAAAGACCACTTTCAAAATTTACCTCCCTAACACATAATTTAGTAAAGTTTAATTATTGTATTAGAATATTTAGCTTAGCTTAAAAGTAAAAAGAAAAAAGGCCTCTTTTTAGCTGTTTCGGCAGCATCACGAGTGATATTGCCAAAATAAGCAGGCTGCTACATAAAATTAAAGGATTCCCATACACGTATGCGTATACGTTTTAGGAAGTACTAATGCATTGGTGAACGATGGTTGTGAACTTCACACAAAAATTTATAACTTGTATCCTCTTTGGCCCCTGGCTGAACGAGTTTCAGTAGAAATACTTGCATTTTGATCGTTTGGGAATAAAAAACAAACAGATAGTGAGCGAAGTATATAAAACTATGGAATGGAGGAAGCATAACAAGGAGACTTCATTACAAGAAGAAACTAAAATCTACTCTAACAGCTATTACAGAAAGAGAAATCCAGTAATGTCGAAACGAAAATGAATCATGCATCAAAGGTTTACCGTTGAAATGTTAGCTGAGAACAAACACCGAACTATGTGTATCTTCCGTCGTGTCTGTGCTCCCAGTTAGGATTGGAAGCCAGGCAGAGGTCTAAAGTCTTAATTCAAGTGTGGGGTTTATTTGTGTAAATAATAAGTTTGATGTGGCCGTAAGGTTATTACTTATATTTTGATAATTTATCAGATTCATCCAGTGTTATCCAATTCGATTTAGAGCACGTTTGGCTAAGCTTAAAAGCAGCTCATTAGCCGCTTCTTTTTGTATACCTCCAATTCACTCCTGATTCGAGTTGCCAACAAAATTCTCTCTCAATCATGCTACGGGTAATTCGTCTTTCCTCTAAATCCAAATCGAGATTGACATTATTATCATCTCCTCCAATACATTTAATTTCATCAAAACCTCATTATACTTCAACCACAATTGAGTTTTCATTTCGCAATGTTTTTTATAATAGCTCAAGTTTTTCCAGTACCCAATGTGGTATAAACAACTTTTTCTGTAGTGGGTATTCTCTAAATTCAACAAAGATGGAAACTTTTAGCCGAGGTAAAAATGGGTTTTTCTCATCTGGGTATTTAGTAATTCCAACAAATATTGCGACTTCGAGTGGAGTGAGGAGTTTCAGTAGCGAACCAGTGAGCAGAGAATCGATGAACTACGATGTTGTGATTGTTGGGGCTGGCCCCGCGGGATTGTCGGCAGCTATAAGATTGAAACAATTGTGCAAACAAAAGGATGTTGATTTATCGGTGTGTGTTGTGGAGAAGGGAGCTGAAGTTGGTATGATTCTGTTGCTCTCTTTAAAGTAATGAAACTGTTCAATAAAGGCAAGTTGTGATTGTCTTATTGGTTTTTGATAAATGTGAATTAGTTTTTTGATATGTTCCAAAAAAGTTTTAGTTTGTCATAGACTGCGAGTACTTTCTTCTTGCAAATTTAGCTTAACATTTCATGCAAAATTCGAGGACAATCTAAATGCAGTGTGTATGTACACAACCCATTGTTGGATTTCAAGTTATATAGATGAAGTTAAGTACTTAATGCCTTGTGATATTTTTGACAAACGAAATGTGCCATGCGTGTTAGATGACAAAATTAAATCAGTTGAATTATGTCATATGGAATATATATGGAGATGCGACTGTTAATGTAATTCTCCAAATGATATAAAGAGACTGACAGACGGCTGGGTTGTCAACGATTTTTATGGTGGAAGAGAGAGTATTGGAAATGGTTCTCTTTTCACAAGCAAACCTAATTTTGTGACATGGGCGTATCGATTTTCTTTACAATGGCCACTGTCCTGTCAATACATAACTTTGTATGTTGTAAATTTGACAGGACGAATTAAAAAATGAAGCCATGACATTTTCAATTCCTTCATCAAGTAAACTGTGTCTAACTTGCTTATTATGGCTACTCTTTGTTTCTCTCTAGTTAGGGACATAGCAGTTTACAAATATCTGGCAAGCTCAGTTTTATTACAACTTTGGTTGTCATTTGATTCTGTAGGTGCTCATATTCTATCCGGGAATGTTTTTGAAACTCGAGCTTTGAATGAACTTCTCCCACAGTGGAAACAGGAGGAGGTTTATTTATCAACCTTTCCATTTCATTATATAATTCTCATTATCCCGCAACATGGATTGAGAAGGATGATGACAAATGCAGCTCAACTAAGCTATACAATATCTTGTTAATTTCCACTTACTCTTGTTTAAATTCCCCATTTTTCATCCGACTTTGACCATAGTTTGCTAATATTAATTGCAGGCACCAATACATGTCCCTGTTTCTTCTGATAAGTTTTGGTTACTTTCTGAAACTCGTGCTTTCTCCCTTCCATGTCCATTTAATAATGAAGGGAACTATGTCATAAGGTAATTATATGCATTTCTTATGTCTTTTACCGCACAAAGGGAAACACGTATATCTTGAGGCCTTTTTTTGACTTTGGAAAGGATGAAGTGAATGCTTATGAATGTTGTTCGTTTTTTATTTTATTTCTAGCGGTTGACTCCATGTATTCTCCATTTTCTATCTTTTTCAATGTTTGTGTACTCTGGCTGTCAAGAATGATTGGACATAATAGTGTTTATCCTCAAATAAGTTTCTATCTTGTTAATCTTTGTGCTAATTTCACTCCTTGTCCTTTCTTCCGTGGAGTTCCTTGCCAGAACAACTGGTGTTCCTATTGTGTGTTCCTGGTTCCCATATATAGAATAAATGTTGTTTTTAATTGCATTTTCTAGTTACATAGTTTCAACTTTTCTGCGCATTTTACTATTGTGTATGTGGTGCTGCAGTTTGAGTCAGTTAGTGCGCTGGTTAGGACTGAAGGCTGAAGAATTAGGAGTTGAGATATACCCAGGCTTTGCTGCTAGTGAGGTATTTACATTTTTATCGGCTTCCTTTTATAATATTTTATAGTTGTCTACCCTCATTTTTTATTCACGAGCAGATTTTGTACGACACGAGCGACAAGGTTATTGGTATTGCAACCAATGATATGGGAGTGGCCAAAGATGGATCTAGAAAAGACAACTTTCAGCCTGGTGTGGAATTGAAGGGCAAGTTTATGACCATATTTTATCTTATTCTCATTTCATTTCATGAAGATCTTAAGCTGGAGAGTCCCACAATGCCGATACTTCCTTCTTGAGGGCAGATCTATAGCAGTAAAAAATGGATGCCTAAAAGTGGATGAAACAACGTGATGTATTTATTGATTTACACTATCCTCATAAAATTTCATTGCCTATGACATATCTACATCTGCTAACGACCAAGGAAGCTACGGGATGACAGGGGTAGAGAGCTAGTTCATACTTCAGGGAAAAAGATCTTATGAACTCTTGCTTAACTGTGTGATATGAAAAACCAATGGGTTAATAATTTTGGCTTTTCTTCGATAACTGATAGCTTTTTTTCTGATTATTATCTGGTACATGTAGGACATATAACTCTTCTTGCAGAAGGATGTCGAGGATCTTTGTCAGAGGTTTGGAGAAATAGACCCTTCTCTCTAAGCATCAGCTTGAATTTTTTTGCTGGTTAACTTAACTCTGAGATGGTTCACCAATCTGGACATTTTCAATAATTTATACACAGAAAGTAATCAAAAAATACGATTTGCGAAAGAAAGGGCACGGACAACATCAGACTTATGCTTTAGGAATCAAAGAGGTACACTTATTCTTGTCTAGGTGCTTCAATTGCGATGTACGTACGTGTTTGATTAGAGTACTTCACTTCACCACAGCAATCAGCACCTTTCCAAATTTGTTGACTACTTAACAAATGTACTCTTCTTATTCTTATATGTAACCTTGTATTTTTATGTTTAGTCCGAAAACATCCCTGATCTACAGGGAGCAACAACTATATAGTTGGAAACAATTGGTAGTATTGAAATTTCATTCTGATAGTTTGTTCTTAAAAAATACACTTACTTTGTGTCAATTGATGGGTGTAATGACAATATGACATAGATGTTCTATTGAGAAAGGTCCTTGGTCTCTACTTAATGCATTTTTGACATCTTTTAAGTCACTCCAGATTCCTCAAGCTATTTCTCTGCCAGGTTTGGGAAATTAGTGCAGACAAGCATGAACCTGGCTCTGTACTTCATACAATAGGCTGGCCATTGGACCACAAGACCTATGGGGGGTCTTTCTTGTATCACATGAAAGATAGACAGGTACTCCTTATTAATACATTCATTTTCTAGGAGAAGTGGCACATTAAGTAATAGTTGTGATCCCCAATGGAGTGTTCTGATTGGAGAAATCTACTCTAAAGATTTTATCATTGGTCGAAAAATATTCAGAAGCTTAAATAACTGCTTCTAGTACTAAAAGGCCAACTTAACCTAACTAATAATGTTGTGTAATCAGATAGAGTTCATTTCTGATTGAATACATCCTGTAATAGTGACAGAAGGCGTGAATAATGTTTCAAAGGAATGATTATATTTAGAGGCAGGATACTTTTTGTGGGCAGAAGTGGCTCGCACTGATTTATAGAAAGGTTATCCCTCTTTTTTAGTTGACTGGGGTAAGAATTTCTGAATTCGGCTGGGCTCCTCTGTCATGTAAGTACCCCAAGAGAAATTTTCATCATGACATTGGGTTGAGGGGAGGGGGAGAAGTTGCAATTTTACTTGACTTCCAAGTTCTTCCAGTTGCAGTACACAAATGAAATTATAAGATTCTGAAAGAATGGTAGAGCGCCTGCATTGGAACTTTCCTGATGCTATATGCTTTCATGAGAGGATGCTCAAAGACCAAGCGATGGCATGGCCTGGACCCTGAAGTTTGGATAATGATCATATTATGTCTCTGTGGCTATGATGCTTCATATTTAAGCATTAATGTCTTGCTTGTGGGGAAATGTCTCGTTTGATCCTAATAACATGAGTTCAACTAGATTAGATTGGTGCGGAAGACTCCAAATGTGGCATGAAAGCCCTCATCTCACGGGAGACAACAAATTTGCAGGTAACTTAGGAACATGCAAAACATTTTTTAAAGATGGAGTAAGGGAAATGTTTCCTCGACCAGCTATAGTGACTAAAGAGTTCCATCAGAAATCTTTATTTATTTGTTGCCAGCCAGGTGCTGTAAGTACAGAAAGAATTGGATGAATCTGTTGTGGTTTGAAGCCCCTGAATCTACAATCAACTAGTAAACTGACATTTTGAGGCACTTGGAGCTAGAGAATGCTTACCTCTTTGGGCAAAGCAACTAGATCCCCTCTCGATTTTCCTGCTTTGAAATGTACTGTTTGAACCTGTCCCTCTCTTCTTTATGTTCTCCTTATTGGACAACAGTATTGGAGTCTTATGATTCAAAATCCAACAGTGTTCCCTGGCTTGTCTATTCTTGTGACAAAAACTACACCAGAGATACTCTCTTTCACCCAGCCTATCCTTCAAATTTTCCGGAGTTCCCATCAGTAGCAACAATAGCACCTGCTTTATCATTTGTGGTTTAAAATTGGCTAAAGCTGATCCACCATGGAATTAGTATTATCCAACATCATGGTTATGCGACCTTCTCCCCTTTCAATGGCAAATGCTTCATTTGAAGGAGTTGTTCTTTCCCCATTTGGATTTTAACTTGGTCCAGTTTCTCATCTAAACCAGCCAAGACGTCAAAATCCCCTTCTTTCTTACTAAAGCTCTTGAAGCTTTGTTAACCATCTCATTTTAAAGTTTAAGCTGGTTCCTAATTTAAACCATCCAAGAAATAAAGAACCCTTCTCTCAATAAACTCTTGATGCTTTGCCAACAATCTCATTTAAAAAGCTTAAGCTGTTAGAGAAAGGGGTGAGGGTGGGCACATGTATTCAATTAAATTGTGTCTTTAGCACACCCTTTCACCTGTCCTCCGCGTTCATTTTTTGCATCAAAGGCCCTAATGCATACACATTTTTCTAATATCTGGCTTTGATACCATATATACAACCTAGCTTTGTGAAATTCTTTCTCTTATTCATTGAAGAGAATACAAACAATATATAGATTTGCTGAGATAAAAAAAAAAAAAAAGGAAAGAAAGAATCTGAATGATATCCTAGGAAATCATTAATTACAAGGAAGACTGATCAATTATTCTAACAGGGAACCTAAATTCGATATTTACAACATATACCAGCTATGCTACTCAAATCTTCTTGGACAGACTGACAGAATCTCCAACATCTAATTGTTCTAGCTGTTGAGTCTAGCTACTTGCATGTTGAAAGTATGAGTTTGGAATTACTTAGTCTTGTATTGTTGGTGTACAGGTGGCTCTTGGTTTTGTGGTTGCATTGAATTATCACAATCCATTCTTTAATCCTTATGAAGAATTTCAGGTAAACTTGGTGTATTGTTGTTCCCTTTTGTCTTCTTACTTTATGATCTTCTATACACTGGAAGATTTTGAGTACAACAAGTTCAATGTATGTTGAATGTTAGCAAATCTGTCATCAGATTCTCAATTCACCCACTTTTGTTATTATAGAGATTTTCGTTGTTGTGTTTCTTCTCTAGATAATGACTTTTGTTATAAACTTATAGTTGGAGGATACTTCCTTCAATTTATATTTCTATGGCTCTTGAATTAGTGCTAATTTCTGTACGTGGAATAAACTCTAGATACCATAACAGGGAGCTATTGATGTAAAATTATCAAATCTGGTTTTATCAAACCGACATATCCTAATAGTATATATATGAGAGACACTGATACGGTTAAACCTCGATAAAGTAATGTTCAATAAAGTAATAACCTCGATTATATAATAATTTCTTTCGATCCCGACTTGGGTCAATGGACTAAAGTAATAACCTCGCTAAATGCATTAAGTAATAAAAAAAAAAATCGAATCCTTAAGGGCCCACAATAAAAATATAAAGTAATAATTACTGGTTTTCATTGAGAAAAAAAATATATAGACCAAAATCTTTCAATCAATCAACAATACCCGTACAATAATAATTCTTTTTGAAAATATGCATTTATAGTTGATTGTTTTTTCTTCCCACCTAAACCAAAATGAACCCCATCCTTAACTTTTTGTAGAGCATACACAACTTCCGGAATATTTTGCTCGTGTTGTAGCAAGTAGTTGCTTAAGGTGACTATTGCTTGAAATGCCTCTTTTGACGACACATTTGAGACAACGTTACTATCATCTGGTTCAGGATCATTCTCATCATCATTATTGTTCATTACCGATTGAATAATTTCTTCGTCTGTAGGTGATTCCATAACTGCATCATTCTCGCTCGGATAGTTCAAAAGATGTTCAACATCCATCACATTTCTATAACGTAAATTAGAGATGACATCATTTAATCCTCGGATACCTTCATCCAATTCACCAACTTCTGGTTCAGGAACATTGTTTTCTTCTGACCTAATCTTGCAATGCCGAAAACAGTTTGCAATTGTTGTTGTCTTCACATCAAAATTCCAAGCCATGTTAGCAAAATTAATAGCATTCAAAATATTATTTTTTTAAGGATTTGATGCTTCAATCTCAAGGCCTTGTAAGATGCTAGAATAAAAACGACGACGATAATGAGTTTTGAATGCTCGAATAATCCCAGCATCACATGGTTGAATCTTAGACTGTGTTAGGAGGTAAGAGAAATAACTCTACATTTCTCAAGCCTTCAACTACCTTTGGATGAGCTGGGCAATTGTCTACTATTTAGAGAACCATCCTGCCATTCATTCTCTTATCAAACCAACCAACAAAATCTTGAAAAGCAAGCCAGTCAACTAAGCTTTCTTGTTGGATCGATACTTACAATTAAGATCGTTCAAGTTCACATTTTTAAAGCATCTAGGATTTGCATACTTACCAATAACCCAAAGTGGTACTTTGTCAGATCCATCACAATCGCAACAAACAACAACAGTAATTCTCTCCTTATCTTTTTTGCGTCCTTCGAGCTGCTTGGTAGCAAGTGAATGATCAGCTTCCTATCGGTAAAATAATCCAGTTTCATCCATATTGGAAATATCCTTCAACTGAAACTTGTCTAGTTTTGATCGTATTCCAGGTAAAGCATTTTCAGTGTTTTCCATGATAACTAAACCACTTTCACCAAAACGTCGGTAAGATTTGATTCCATATCTTGTCTTGAAGCGTTCTAACCATCCACTAGAAAAGCTGAATTCTGGATTAGTTTCACCATACATTTTTTGCAAAAGTTCTTTTGCTTTTCCTTGGATAATTTCTCCAGACATGTTCACTTTATCTTGCCTTTGAAGAAACCACTCATACAAAACTTTCTCTAAATCAGGGTATTTTGCCGATTTGTGCCTTTTAAAATCGCTATTTTTCATCTCATTTGACAAATATTCCGATGCCCTTTCGAGAGTGTTTGATATTGTTGATTGACTAATAGTCAAATCAAACTTTTGTTACACCCATGCTTGCATATCTTTTTGGCTAATAGTTGGATTCTCTTTCTTATGCTCACATATTGCACTCCTCATTTTGTCAATTAAAGTTGATTGTTTTACTCCTTTCAAATGATGAGAAGACATTGGAGGGGAAACAAAATATTGTATGTTCTTGGAATATGTCTTCCAAACATTTAGCTTTTATAGGTAAAGACTAAACCTTTTCATTTGCTATGTACGTGAACTTAGTTTTTAGAGACATTAAGTTTCACTAAAACTTTTGAGCTTCCCTAGATTCAAATAATACTTTGATTAATGTCTTTTGATTTTTCTTCCCACATACAATGTACATAATTTATATTGAAAAGCTCTCTCTAAAATAATAAATATTTTTTTTATCGATAAATGAATAATTTATTCATTTATCGATAAATAAATAACCTCGCTAAATGAATATTTTTTTTCGGTCCCGAGGGTATTACTTTATCGAGGTTTAATTCATGTAAATTGAATGTCTAATAATCAGGTTTATATCATGTCATAATTGTGTTGGAATTGAGTAAAGATCAGAACAGTGTGCATCAAGAAAAATGATCTTAGGATCTTTCTATTATAATTTGTATCGCGAGTCAGAAATTGGTACTATTATCATGCATGCTATCATCAGGATGATCTTTTCCATCACATGTGTAGTTCGGCCAAATTATAATTAGATCAGCAAGTTGGATGTTGGCCTTGATTTGTTTGCCCTGGCTGGGGTTGGATTTTACTAAAAGTCTGATGCTGGTTTAGTGCTTGGGCTGTCCATGGTCCAAGGAACCCTTTCATTTATATGTGGATAACATAGTGTAAAGGATTGACATGTTTCCATTAAAACATAAAAAAGGTTTGGAAAAGAAAGAAAGGGTAACTTTAAAACTATGAATTCCAGTAAAATCAATTCAATGGTTAACTATGCTTATGAAACAATTGAAATTATTGAAAAAAAATTCTACAGAAGATTAGTATCTAACATCTTTTCTCATAAATATTTTGGAATTGATATATTATTTGCTTTAGAATTCCCTGTGTGTTCCTAAAGTTCTAATAAAAACTTTACGAAAGGTGACTATATTTTAGTTGTGAAGCTTCCGTGGGAACAAACTTTCTAAGATTGAGGACTGAGGCAAGTGAACATAATCCAAAAACTGAATACATAATACATTATGGGAATTTGTATTGCTCTAGGAACACAAAAGAATTCAGCAATGTTTTGAATAAGACATAAATATTTAGCAATAAAAAACAGCAAAACAAACGTGCAATGTACCAATCAAGAAATTGATCTGAACCTTTACAAGATATCTAGGTATCTAAAAAAAAAATGTGTAGATTAATGTTCTAACAATCTGATTGCAATGACTCTTTACCAGACATTGACAAAGACGATAAAAAAATATGCGACAATGAGTTATGTGAATGAAACATATGTTAAATAACAAGCAGTATTAGAGATATGAAACCTTTGAAGTAGGTGGATGTTTACAAATATGGCTCTATGTATGATCTGTTTCTTTGTTCTTACTTGATTTTGTATTTCCAATATATTTGGTATCATTGCTTATTAATAATATAACAAACCATCGAAGTAAAAGAAACAAATGGTTATTATTGTACTGACTTGAAATATTAAACCTTCTCAAAGAACTATTCTTAAGTAAACACAGCAGACTTATGGTCTTCCTCGAAGAATTATTGTTACGTTTTTTTATCAATTCATCTCTGATTCAGTTACTCTGATCTCTGTCCTCCCCTGCTGGTCAAGTAAGGAGCATAGAATGAACGAAACCTAACGTTCCATTCTTCTGTTGCGTGCCTTTCCATCATTGCAATCAACATATACACGCCTGAAACTTCTCATGTTTATTTTTCTAAATTCCTGCCAAAATGCGATGCATTATGTCACATACCTTTGTCTGAGAGAATGTGGACACTTGTTTAGCTTCTTTTGGATAATGGATACCATTTATCTTTTTTTTCTTCCAGAAATTTAAGCATCATCCTTCCATCAGACCTCTTCTTCAAGGGGGAACGGTACTTCAATATGGTGCTCGTACTCTAAATGAAGGCGGTTATCAGGTGCATCTGAAATACTGTTTCGCCTTGATTGTTGAAATTTTTACATCATCTACCTGAAAAAAACAAAAAGCAAAGCAGCACGTGGAGATGATTGCATACACTCTTGAGATGTGTTAAGAGTATATTCACAAATGGAAAATGCTATGCCTGATGCAACTTTATGCTGTAAATCAAAGCACACAAGCGAACATTTTGATTGACATTTATATGGACATATTCCTGATTATTATATTGACACTACATTTTCGTAAAAAAAAAAAAAATAGATGTTATACTAATGCAAATATGATGTTAGTTAAATTTCAGTCCATTCCATATCCAGTTTTTCCGGGTGGAGCAATTATAGGGTGTTCTGCTGGCTTCCTGAATGTACCAAAAATAAAAGGATCACATACTGCGATGAAATCAGGTAATTCTTGCTATTTGCATGATTTTACTTTTTCCATTTAATTATTACTTGAGATTTGGCAGTGAAAGATGAGACAAATATGTATGATGTCTGGACTGGACACATTATAATTTATATATTGTTCGGGAAGCTGTCAAGGTCCAGAGATATTCAAGGACCTGCACATTACCATCTATAATGTTCTGCTGTTGTTTTCTTGTTTACCTATTCTCTCTGAAACGCAGGCCTATAAAACCAACGAGAGATTGAGTGAGCTATATATTTGTTGGGAGATGCATTATATTTAGATAAAATATTGCCATTTGCCATTTGTCTTGATTATGCTAGCTTAAGTATCACACATGGATAATGTCAAATTGTTAAGTTTGAACATGGAGTTAGGTTCTCGTATTGACAAGGAAATGTTCTGAACAGAACATTAAAATCAAAAGCAGTTCTTTTCCAAATCAGGAAAAATAAGTGAAGAGTGATTTCTCATACAGACAAAGCTATCTTTCTATGAGAATGTTTACATCACCATTGCCCACCTGAAAATCTTAAGTATTTAAGTAAAAATGGGCTCATGCTACGTCATTATGTATCGGTAGAAATTATTTTCCATAATTTCAACTGATACATAAAACATATATTGAAAGGTTCATAACTTTTCTTTGATCTTCACCTCAGTAATGTAGTACCCTAGCATTTTCTCTTTTTGACAACCTCTCCAAATGAATCTAATTATTGCTTTTACTAAGAACACGTAGAATAGAAACTTGCTAATATAGAAAAAAAACTTTGAGCCTCTTAGTTGGGGTTATTCCTTGTTCACATGTAAATTACACACCTTCCATTTGATTTGACAATATTCCCTTTCCAACCTGATTGAGATGTGCTTACAATGTTAGACTGGGTGGCTAAAAATGCAGGAAGCATCTTGTCAACAGATTAATGGTTGCGTCTCTGAGACAAATAATATATGTTAAAATATTAGAGCTGTAAGCCCCAAATATTATTGACTTAAATTTTGGGGTGTTACTGATATCATTTCATAATAATATTTGAAACGGAAATATTTAATTGAAAATTTGAACTTCTAATTTATTTGAACATTTATATATTGAATCAAACATAGAGTCGCGAAATCTAGAACATTTAATAAAAGTAAAGAAAACACAACTATCGTAACATAATTTATTATTGAATATTTTTCCGAAAATTATATTTGGAAACCTGCGCACCGCTCAACCACCATCCACGTTGAACTATCTAACATGAAATGTTAAAATTTTAAAAGAATTAGTAATTTAAACTGAGTAAGATATGTGCGTCCAAAACAATATATTAACTTTTTAAATATAAATTTACAACATTCCATACCATCATTTCATCAAGAGCAATCAGAGATCAATCGAATGTTCTAACACATTTCTGTGCAACGTTTGAGAAAACCCGATGGAGATCTTACATTTTATTTCATTTCATTTCGTTAAGACCCACAGGTCAATTAGCATTTCATGAAATAAATTATATAGAAAAAATCATAATATTGCAAGGACACGACAACTTGCACATACTATCCTACCGCATTTGACAATAGAATTGTTGGAAGAAAGTAAGAAATTCACGTTCCCAAAACCTTTTCGCTGTTGTCGTGTCTATGTGCTAAGAAAAAATGTCGAAATTATATTCTATAATAAAACATGAGTTAACTAATGATTGCCAAACACAAAACAAAATTTTGGATACGTTATGGATTTAGGATTGATTCTGCTTCAACGTGGTGCGCAAACCCAATGCAAAAGTTATATATATATAT